GCAATGGAGTGATGTTTGAATTGAAACAGGAAATAGGAGGAAGGTACTTGACTGTAAACAAGGCAGCACCAAGAGGATCAAGGCCAGAGCGTGCAGAGAGGTCGCCGCAGATGTCTGGACCTTCATACAGAGTTTACGTTGGCAACCTTCCATGGGATGTCGATGATGTCCGCCTTGAGCAGCTGTTCAGTGAACATGGGAAGGTTGTGAATGCGAGAGTTGTGATTGACAGGGAAAGTGGTCGATCACGAGGGTTTGGGTTTGTGACTATGTCTTCTGAAAGTGAAGTCAATGACGCCATTGAAAATCTTGATGGACAGGTAAAACCCTAAATTCTTGCTTGTTTATAAATTTGGTATTACTTTTGAAAAAGAAAGAGGGAATTGTAATATGTTTTTTTGTGTTGCAGAGCATGGGCGGGAGAGCAATTAGGGTAAATGTAGCGGAGGAGAGGCCAAGGCGTTTCTGATCTGGGTTTTTGGTTTGATTTGGTTTCAACTTCCAACTGGTATTTTATGTTTCATGTAAGTTTTTGTTTAGGAGTTTATCAAGTGCGATGTGTTTTGTTATAAGTTATTGAGTAAAGTTATTGGGGGTGTACTTGAACCTGATCCTGATGCCTATGCAAATTTGCTAGGCAGTTAATGGGGTATAAAAAGGTTATCTTTTTATGGCCATGATTGCTTCTTGATTCTTCTGAGTTGTCTCACCTTGGAATGTTGGAAAATAGAAACCATTGATATGTATGTTGAATAACTTTTGCTAACTGAACCATTTCCATTCTTGTCCCATCATTTTCAATTCCTGTGATACCCTCCTCACTGGAATCACCAATTGCCTTCCCGGCTTCAATTGATAGACAAGCGGTTGTATTTCCAGTGCAGCTGCCCCAATGTGAATAGCAAACCCTTTTCTACAATCGGTCATCATCCATTACCATCAATCCAAGAAACCAATGTAATTAAGGCAAGAGATCCATTTTGAGTAGAGGTACTAAAATCTGAAGGAATTTGGAATCCGGAGGAAATAAAATCTTTAATATGCTTTTGTTGACATGTAATGGAATATAATTCTTTGCAAAAATTTATCAAAAGAATTAGAATGTAAAAATCTTTTTTTTTAAACAGCCACATTATATAAAGCAAACTAGCAAGAAGCTAGAGGAAAAAAAAATCAATTAATGAGAGCCATAAAGAAGTGGGTTATGCAACCATCCGGTCCAAAAATACTACTTTTACTACATCTATTCGAAAGCCAATTAAAAGAATGAATGATAGTATTTTCAAAAATATGAATTTTTCTCATGTTGTGCGTCGTCTGGAAAATCACGCTATTCTTGTAAAACCAAATAACCTAAATTGTGGTGATAATAATTGCTTGAATCAACTCTTCGTTTATGCTATCAATCCAACTCTTAATCTCGGAGACATTCGGAAAAGAAGGAAAAGGAAGATCAAGCCACTTAACCATTTTGTTCCAAATTTCTTTGGCCACTTCACAAACAAGAAATATGACTACAATCTTCAATCTGCGAAGAAAACATAGGGCATAACACAAAAGTCAAGTTTGTTCCAAATTTCTTTGGCCACTTCACAAACAAGAAATATGACTACAATCTTCTTTGGCCACTTCACAAACAAGAAATATGACTACAATCTTCAATCTGCGAAGAAAACATAGGGCATAACACAAAAGTCAAGTTTGTTCCAAATTTCTTTGGCCACTTCACAAACAAGAAATATGACTACAATCTTCAATCTGCGAAGAAAACATAGGGCATAACACAAAAGTCAAGTCAATGCCCCTGTTAACCAGATTATCTCTAGTATGATGTCTATCTAGAATGTTTCTCCATAGTTGAATAATAAGCTTAACAGGGACAAGCTTGCACCAAGTCATGTCCTACAAAATAATGTTTTCAATATGTTTTCTACCGCTATTAATAGTAAAACCAACATCAGAACTAATAGCCCACTCCCATATATATATATATATATATATATATATATATATATATATAATATAGAGAGAGAGAGAGAGAGAGAGAGGGGTAGGTTCAAATGTTTCACACATCCATTGTGTGCTAGAATGCACCAATATGAATTTAGTATTAAATATATGTATATTAAATGCTATCCATACTTATAACTCATTTTTATGAAAACCAATTAAATTCGTCATTAATGTCAACAATAATATTCTTTCAGAATGAATTCATATCTAGAAGAATGAGAGTGTATTCCAGCAGAATGAGAGTGTATTCTAATAGAATACACTCCCGTTCTTCATATTCCATGCAACTTTATTGTATTTTAAGTGAGTGAGTCCTGAAACAAAATACGAACTCATATATAAAAACGTAGATGCTAATTCATTCTGAAAGAATGTTATTGCTGACATTAATGACAGATTTAATTAGTTTCCATAAAAAGAGAATTATAATTATGGATATCATTTAATATACATATAATTATGGAAATCATTTAATATCTATATTTATTTAATTAAATAATTATTTAATTTACTAAATTCCTATTGGTGCATTCTAGCACACAATAAATGTAAGAAACAAAATAACCTAGCCCTATATATATATATATATATATATATATATATATATATATATATATATATATATATATATATATATATATATATATATTCGGACAATCAACACACGAGACATAAGAAATAAGTCGAATCAAACCCAAGAGTTGTAAAGTCGTGCCACCATTGTCTCAGATTTGACTCCTCCAACTCCAAACCCAACCACTATCACTCCATTTGTCAGCAACACAACAATCATTCAACTCTTCCAAAACATAAAGTCTCGTGAATCGTAAAGAAATGATCTCTATACCGATCCAAATGCATTCCACAATCTAGTATTTACTCATTATCAACTCGTCTTATAAAAAAAGAATGTGACACAATGTGAAAAATATCATGCTTATCGTATAGCTTCACAAGATTGGCCCACACCCCCTCCCTTCGGTTTTAGAGAGTTCACCCCCAACCCACCATAAACACCATGAATATTATGAATCACTGTAACCTAAAGCGCTTCCTCCTCATTATAAAAAAATGTCACCTCCATTTAATAAGCAACGCCATATTAAACGCTTTTAAACTTCCAATACTTAAACCACCTTTATCCTTGGAATTCAACACCAAGATCCATTTGACCTAAGAAATTTTTCTATATGAGTCGCTACCTCCCCAAAAGAACCGAGAACGCAAAAGACTCTAAAACACTATTCACAAACCCCGACATTTTAAACATAGACATGTAGTAAATACCAAGGGTATTAAGAATAGTACTAATTAACGTCAATCTACCTCCTACAAAAAGAAGATTCACTTTCCAATTAGCTAATCGCTTCTCAAACTTTTGTATCACCGTTTTCCAATTAACCATGTGATTCATATTTTCATCAACCGATAACCCAAGATAAGTAAAAGGCAAAGTAGTTAGCGCACATCCGGTAATAACAGCCATCTCGGAATACCAATATCATACAAATTCGATTTCTGTAAATTTAATTTAAGGTCCGTCACCAAGTAAAAGCAATTAAGAATAGTAATCAGGTTAGCAATATTCTGATCATCACACTCTCCTAAAAATAAGGCATCATTAGCATAAAAAATGAGACAATGAAAGAGCGTCGTCTCTAACCACAACACCCATAAATAAACTATGACTCACAGCCTCTAACCACAACACCCATAAATAAACTATGACTCACAACATCCTCTACCGCCACATGCAATCCTTCCATAACAAGAATAACGAGAAAATGAGGAAAAAATGTCACCTTGATGAAAATGTCTCAGAGGCGAGAACTATTTTGTAGGAATTCCATTCACTAGGATGGAGGTTCGGGAAGATACCAAGCAAGCTTTAATCCACTATATCCATCTATGATGAAACCCCATATGAGACATAATTTGTATTAAGTACTCCTAGCTAACCGAATCATATGCCTTATCAAAATCAACTTTAAAAACCATTAAGTTTTTTTTTTTTTGTTATATACCACTGAATGGATCTCATTCATCATCAAATGACCGTCTAGCATTTGTTTGCCTTTAACAAAAGCAGATTGCACAGTATTCACTAAACCATCAATCACCAAAGCTAATCTATTAGCTATTTTTTTGAACGGCAAATTTAATCTACTTATAAAACTAATCCTTAAATCCATTTATGTCCACAACGGTACTTGAACCCTCAATTTCAAAGAGTAAGGGCAATATCTAATACCGTTGGACTAGAAACTCTTTTATCTATTAGCTAAATGTTTTGCAATAATTTTATATTGCACACCACTTAAACTGATCAGTCTCTAATCTTTAAAGATCGAGGGACTATCTACCTTTGGAATTAGAGTAATGAAAGAAGAATTGTAGCCATTAGGGATACGATCTGTATCAAAGAATTCTTCAACAAAGATGCAAATATTATCTTCATAAGCTTCCAAAACCTTTTCATAAACCCGAATGAAAAACCATATAGGTCATGTGCCCTAACACTCGCACAATACCAAATAGCAGCACGAACTTCCTCTTCAAAGAACATTGAACCCAACACATCCCTATGTCTCAAGGTTAATTTGATATTTTTATAGTAGATAAGGAAAGGAAATAAGATGCTTTTGGTCTATCCCAATGAATGATAAAATCGGTTGGTTATAGAATATAATATAAATTGATAGATTTTTTAACCAAACATATTTTTGATGGAATTTATCTTTCGTATTCTTTCGGAATCCATAAAACAGACAGGCGTAAACGGTTTATTGTGCACTTGGAAAGAGTGCATTCATAAGATCATCCCTTTATGTCGAATAATCCAACACAAAAGGCGTATATATAATGTAATTATATTCTGTTTAACAAAAAAAAATCAAAGATTCAACCAACTAAACTGTGTTGATAACCTAAATCTTGTAACTAATTTGCAAACAGACAAACTATTCAATTGGAGATAGATATAGTTTGACTTGAGGAGACTGATTTTTGTAATTTACTCTTAACACCGGTTTTCTTGTTAAATCAATCAAACATCACAAACTAATAACAAAACCATTAACAATAACAATAACAATATTGCCTAAAATCTTAGAAAATACTCCAGTTGTCAGATACTATCCAACAACACATCTGCTCTGGTAGTGCTAGTGTAGAACCCAAGAAAATCTTCTAAGCAGAATTCTCATGCAAGAGTACATACTCTCGGCTGCAAAACACAAAAATAATATTAAATATAAATAAACCATGCAACATGCACATCTGTGAAGCGGATAATAGCAATTAGCAACCTACCTGCTATTGCCAAACTTGATGGTGTCTTTTTCCATGAGTTCATAATAGCGTTCAGCTTCAATACGATTATCCTACATACATTCACAACAAAACATATATATTTATTTATTTATTACTATTAAATTAAACATTACTACATTATCATGTCATGTGTGTGTGTGTGTGTGTGCACTTACATTTATGAAAGTCCCGTTGGTGCTCCCCAGGTCCATTATGTAAGGCCTAGAAAAACAAAAAATTCAGATAATAATACATTTGCTACCTTTTAAGTGTTGTTAGGATAAATGAGAGGAAATCAAACTACATTGAAAGAAAACATAACATATAAAATAAAGTACATTGAAAGAAAAACATTTTTACCTTATTTTCATGGCTAGCATGCCATCAGGTTGCTCCACCTCAACTTGCCTGAGAATTAACAGAAATAGAATATTCCGTCCAAAAACAGGAATAAAAATAAACAGAAAGTTGAGATGGTGATTATACATACCGATACTGAAGGACAGCATGTTGTTTGCTGCATGATGGATGGTCTGTAGGGATGTCTGCTACCCTTCTTTCTCTCCCAAAAAGATAGCAGGTTTGACGATGCACATACAAAGGCTCTGTTTTTTATTTTTATTTTATTTTTTAAATAAAAACTCACACAAAAACCAATATTTTACTTTATATTAACAAAAAAGAGATATGGTCAAACCCACCCTACCATTAAGCACTTCACCACCCTTAAAAAACATAAAGCCTCCATCTTATTTCTGGTTTCCTTGCATCTGGTGGCTCAGTAAACAACAGTGTCACACCTACCATAAAAAAAATATTATTTAAGTTTCTTGAAAAATCTGTTTCTATTATCTATAAGAAAGAGAGGGAAAAGAAGTGAACAAAAGACTCGCTCACCCTTGACTCGATTGGTCTCAGCCGCAAGTTTTCCAGACAACTCAAAAGAAGGCTTTTGCTGCAACAATATATGTTATAACATATTAAGTCCATTGAGTAAAAAAGGAAAGAGCACCAAAATAATTTAACTTGAATCACCTTTTCCTTAGTTGCAAGTGCCTCTTCAGCTGCCTTCATTTGTGCTACTGAATCATCATCATTGCCATTCCTAATCACACACATTATATCATTAGCATCTATAATCAGATCATGTAACAAATAAGGACTACAAAAGTTTAAAAGTTCATATAGGTGCTCACTGATGATCACCTCTTGAGTTATTTCCCTGGAAAATAAAACCAAATGGAAGTCAATAACTTCATTTACAAATCATCCATGGAAACAAGAACAGTATAATGCTCCATTCAAATCATTATCTCAAATGTGCAGTAACAGTTTTTTTCATCAAGATCATATAGCAGAAAGCAGATATTATTATTGACAATAAAGATGAATTTGGAAGATTGTGTATGATAAATAAATGATAGGAGAGTTAAAAGATATGGATATCACCAGACACCTCATCACGAGCTCCTCTTGCAGCAGGAGGCGAATCAGATTTGTGTCTACTCCTGTGACCTTCCCCCCCATGTCTGGATTTGGAGGATCCGTTTCCATTGCCATCTGAATCCCTCTCTTTATGTGTAACCTTGTCACTTCCACTAGCATGTCCTCTGCCTTTCATTTCATCAGCCTTATCAGCTTGGGCTCTTCTCAACCTTCTAGTTCGTGGTGATGGTGATCGAGATTCATGTGATGCTGGTGACCTGGTTTTACCATGTCCTCTTTCACTTGGTTTATCATCCTTATTGTTAGATCGATCTCTCCTTAACCTTTTACTCCTTGGTGATGGTGATCTTGAGTTTGCTCTTACAGGAGATGCAGGTGTCTGTTTGGAGGATCTTGTGTGGCTTGAAGCTTTCTCTCTCGGTGGTGAATAAATAGGAGGAGGCTTTGGGTGTCTTGAAGCCCTATCTCTACCTGGTGATCTTCCTGATCTTTCTCTCCTTAAAGGGCTCCTATGAGAAGACCTGTGATTCCGAACAGGAGATTCTGAATGATCAGAGGAATTACGCCCCATGAGGGAGGGTTGAAATTTCTGAAATTAGAAAATATATAAAGAAATCAAAAAGCAGATAAACATGCTCCCCCTACATGAACTTGAACTGAAGTTCTAATCTATTTATCAAAACCTCACCACAAGGAACGGCAGTGATAACTAATGAGAGTACAAGCACAATGAAACGTCCTTAAATCAAGTGGCGCGTAATAGTTGTATAGCATGAAGAATAACAAAATTACCAAATTCAATTTTTGAAGCATAGCCTAAAGAAAGTTGAAACGAAATACATTCCAGTGTGGAAGAAAACCCTAGAAGAATGAGTGAATCATACCTGGAGACAAGACAAAACTTGTAAGGTGATGTTGATGGAGCACAAACGATAATGACTGCCTAATCTGGAACGTAGATGCAAATAATCACTAGCTTGTCAAGAGGAGTGAGCGGTGTTATGGAGAATACAGGGGTGGAGATGGCGAGAGCTCTGATTTTTTTTGTGAAGATTGAGGAATCGGGGGAGGATGCGTACGCTGATTAGTGGGCTGGGCTGTTAGGGAAATCATATGGGTTTTCTTCGATCAATCCAGAATTCCTGATCCAGTAAATTTAGGAATGGCAATCAACCCGGGTATGGTATCCCCATTCCCGAACCTAGAACTTAAAATCGGGAGCCTAGGATGACAAACGTCAGCACTTAGCATGATCTTTTTCATCTATTCTTTTCTAATTTTATTACATTTCTTTAAATATACTTAAAAAAATAAAAATAAAAATATTTTAATTATAAAAAATATACTCTTAAAACTAATGTCTAAAAATTAACATGCTCGATATAGGTAAGTTACAGTTATTTTTTTTCCAAAATGAAATATTTTTTTATATGGCTTCATATTAATTACTAAACCAAATAAAAGAAATTATTATTTTTCAAATAATATATACATAAATATAAAAATCATTTTTTGGGCTAGACAGATACATCCGAACCGGTTTTTACTGGTTTTGTGTGGATTTTGATAGTCTGAGATTTTAAAAATTTGTGTTTTGATTAGCCTATATAAAATCTGATTTTTTTATATAAAATAAAATTCAAATTTATTCCAACCAAATAAAGAGTTATAAAAAATACTTTATAAAAATCGGATTTCTTTTTTGATTTAATCAAATAAGTTTCTTAATTTTCTAAAACAATTTTTGTTTGTACACCTGTATAGAATACTACATCAAAAACATAAAATAAAATTCTAAAAACATAAATATAAATAAATGTTAAAATCAACATTGTATTCGAAAAAAATATAAAAAAATAATTAATAAAACAAACAAAAATAATAATATTATGTTAATTAATTGAATTAAGAAGAACCCAATATAAAATAGTATATAGACATGCATGACTTGTAATCATATCCTGGAGTCCATATTTTGTTCTATTTTGTTCTACGAACGAGTGTCGCATGTGATAGCGTCACGTCTAAAAGTTGTCTTTAATGTTTGTGTTTTTGAAAAAGCGGTTGTTCAAAAATTATTTTCACGGTTTTTACTATTTACAAGATTTCTGACAGATCCATTTTGTAACAACTTGAGTTTTTTACCATACATGGCTGAATGAAACAAAATAACCACTAGCTCTTTATAAAAAAGATGTTATACCTGTATGATGATTTCAACTACGGTTTATAATTCTAACAATTAATTATGATATGAAAAATGCATGTTTAGATGATTTTTGTGCAATAAGAATAATATTTATTTATATGTTTTATTTATAAATATTAATTATAATAAATTAATATTAATTATAATAAATTAATATTTATTAAATAATAAATATAATAAATTTTTTTTATCCAACAATATAGAAAACAAATTCATATTTAATACAGTAAAAATAAAAATAAAATAATTATATATAATATATAAGAAATCATAAAACAAATAGTTTCCAAGTTGTCATATCAAATATTCACTTTTAAATAATTATTCTTGTATTTAATATTAATATTATACTTACTTTAATATTGAGAAATATTATTTTATAGTTAGAATGGAAACTCATGTGTAACATTACAAAAAAGCATGATAAAAAATTTCATTTATATAAAGCATTTTCACAAAAACCATAAGATGATCAAGCGTTGATTCCAACTCAAATCAATAGAATCAGAGTAACAAATAGTTTCTCAAAACATAAATAAGCAGGAGGATGTGTACGATCACCCATTCACCTTGCCTCTATCATCCGAAATACCTGAAAACAATGAAATCAACAACTGCAAGTCAGAACTTAGGCCCCGTTGGATACGCATCTTTCTAGGTCCAGACAGATCTTTCTGGCTGAATGGACCGGAAAGACTGTTTGATTTACACAAAAAAATGGGTCTTTCCCGGTAAGATATGTCTTTCCCAGAAAGTCTCAAAATCATATCTTTCTGGCTGAATGGGCTGGAAAGACAATTATGCACCAAACCCCGCATCTTTCTTTCTTTCTTGGATTATTAATTTTTTGAAATAACTTTTTTTAAATTTATTTTTTATTGAATTATTACTTTTTTAATGTATTATTTTATATTAAGAAATATTATTTTAATATATAATATTTATGTATTAATAAATATTATTTTATTGGATTATTAATTTCTTTTAAATAATTCTTTTTATTGGATTATTATATATTCATAAATACTATTTATAATATATAATATTTAAATATTAATAAATACTACCTTATTGGATTATTGATTTCTTTTAGTTAATTTTTTTTAATTCATTTTTATTGGATTAATTCTTTTTTTTACAACACCACAACCATCCTAATTTATTTTAAAAAATCTCATCCATCATACCAGTATCGGACATGAATCGGGTCGTTTTTCATCATTCAGCACAGTCAATCAAATGTACAATCAAACAACATGGTTTCTTTCCCAGTCAGAAAACTTTCCCAGACAACACTTCACCATACAACACTTTCCGAGAAAGAAACTATCAAACGAGACCTTAGTGAGTTTCCCCCAAGGTACCACACACAACCAAACAGATAACAACATGCATATATGAGCCTTCAGCATGACTGGAGCACCTCATAGGACCTACAGCCTATCTGGACCGCTCTCCGGGCCTTTGGCCTGTCTGAATTGTCTCGCAGGGCCTACAACCTATCCGGGCCGCCCCGGGTATCTTGGTCATCAGTTGTGACATCCCGAAATTTAGGTCTAAAACTGTAGACAAACAGTTCACCATGAACCTCATTGTAATTTGACCTATTGATCTTAAATGCATATTTTGAAAAATGTATAGTGTCATTACACTATTATAAGATACTAGATAGTATCTTACTTCCATTTGTGGAAAATCTCAAACGAATCACAAAGCACAAACTACAACCCTAGTTAATACGTCTAAAAAACTGAAAATTTGTATTAAGCAGTTGTGAGCGAAGCAAATATTCTAATCTCGTAGTACATGTTCCCCTGTTTCCGAAAATATAAAGAACATCCAAAACTGAGTTCGTATGCAAAAATACGACTATTATAAGAAAACAATCCAGTAAAACACTAATTTTCTTTAAACTGCTAAAATCGTATCTATCCGTTGAGGCACTTGCACACGTCAGATGGAAATTCAGTGAGCGTTTTTGGACTCAAAATATGGTCTATTATTTAATTCCATACTCGAAGTATTTCTAGCAAAAATATTTGAAAAAAGTCGAAAAATCGGACGTTTCGGGTCAATTAGATGCGAAACTTTAAACACGATTTTCCGGAGTTCTACAACTCGAAAAATTAATCTGTTTAGGTTTTTGAAATCCTTAAACTCTCCTATCATATGACACTTTCGAAAAAAATATTAGACTTCAGGAACTTGGCACATAAACCTAGGTGTGACATCACCATGGCCCACCAACCTTGTATGCGACTCTAAAAATTAGCCAATCTTTCCTTCCTCCTTGCTTCCTACGTGATCAAACCCTCTTCTTTAACCACCATACCCTCTTGTGTATACTCCTTTTCATAAGTACAAATATGATTGTTGTGTGTTTGACTCAATTTGAGAGTATGGTCTTGCATGGACATTAAGAGCTTACTAGAGACTATAAATAAACGCCTTAACTTCTCATTTTCTTGACATTCACCAGCCATCACTCCTCCCTCACTCTCCCCTCTCTATTTCATTATTTTCTTGGCTATAAAAGCACCACAAAAAACCACCACTCTACCACCGAGAACCGCCATAAACCGCCACCCTCCTTCCCTGTTCCTCCCATTTCTGAAGACCAACCACCACCACCATTGTGTCACTTTGCTTTGCTTCCCTTTTTGTGGTGTTTCCATGAGATAGGCTAGAGTTCTTGTTGTTTTGTTGAGCTTATTTCAAGTTCAAAACATCCCCAATGTAGGATTATTGTTGGTTCGTGTTTCTCACGATGCTTCCCGGAAAACAAACCATATTCTTATCTAAACCGAAGTTCATGCTTCAAAAGGTGAGTGTTTACAGACCATTTTTAATGTTTTTACATATCTTGGGGGGAATACATGTGCTCATATATTTCTTTTATGCAAAAACACTCTTGAAAACATATTACAAAATGTTATCAATTTATGTGAAAAATTATTGTTTGTTCAAGACCTGTTTTGCCCATCTAAAACTCTTTGGTTTACAAAAATGTTTTGTACGCAAGTATTTCAGGTTGATACATTTTCATGGGCTACTTTCACACGTTCATACACTATTTATACAATTTATAATGATTTTTGAAACACTGCATATCATTGCAGTACCTTTTCGGACTAGTCTGTAAAAACTGTCATTTTTACCTTATTTAGGGTTCATATCAGGTCAGGGTAAAAATAGGGACAAAGTAAACTCAATTTCTAAACCTTGAGAGTTTACGGATCCTAATTCTGACTCTCGAGGATTCTTCTAGAATCTTTCTAAAACAGGGACAGAATTGACATTCTAGATTAATTTTCATGTTGTGTCTTTCAAATATATATATATATATATATATATATATATATATATATATATATATATATATATATATATATATATATATATATATATATATATGTGTGTGTGTGTGTGTGTGTGTGTGTGTGTCTGTGTGTGTTTAAATACATATGCATATAAGTTATAAAGATTATAACTTAGAACATATACATGTACTTATGGTCATTACTTTGAAACGTACCTCTTTATAAAAGCGAGTACATTACATTTTTACATATATACCAAATATACTAAGATTTTATAAACTTTATGCAATTCATTATGCCTAGTAACTTATCCACATATAAGTTAGGATTGAGAGCTATTCATGTACCTTAGTTAAGGGCTTTACGGTGACACACTATTCATTAGCTAAGTCTAAACACTTAGCATACCCACACTACTATAATTGTTAATCTTCGGAGCAGGATACATATGTATAGATCTATATGGGGTTGGCATCCCCACCTGTGGTTGCTAGCTACAACCTCGACCGATCAATCAAAGT